TAAAAAACTACAAAGCTCGCTACAAACCTAACTACTAATATTAACTACGCAACCCTATTTTGTACACCTCTAGACTAACTAATAAATTATTCACATACACAGCTTTTGTAATATGTTTCGTAATGTAATTTATATTCTTATACCCACTTTTGAAACTTATTTTTATATTCATTTATTTTTAGTACAATAATTTTTAGAAACAATTCACATTATTATTAAATCGTATTTTTATAACAGACATTGAAACATACAACAACTTCACATATATTAACTAAAAACAAATTAATAATAACATTAACTTTAACTACTAAACAATTTTCGTCCCATAAAGATCTAAAATACTAATATAAACCGTAAATTTTTTCTAAACACATTGGAGCAAAATTAACTTTTGACTACTTGCCTGATGATACGGAAAAAAACTTCTTTTTATTCGCGATTGTACGTGTTTTTTGTTACCTTTTAAAAAATATTTTAAAATGGCATCTTACGCTAAATCAGCTTCAGTAGTCAGTTCGGTTAGTGAACGAATCGTCGAGTTTAAGGTGTTTATGGATATGATTCATGCGAACAATCAACACTATGTGAATGATCGTGCCAAGAAAATTATAGAAAAAATAAATTAAAAAGTTGGTAGGAACAAAATAGAAAGTTTGACTTACCATCGCGATGGGCGATGGATAGCTGTGTTTAACTCTATTGATGATGCAATAGCGATGACTCGAAACGAAGTCGCAATAACAAGTTGTAAGTCTCCTGTTTTTTTTAGAAGAAGAGAGCAATATGGTTTTCTAATCACTATTAAATGTGATCCAACTATCCAAGATGACGAACTAACAACGGAATTGTTTGGTAAAGGAACTTCCGCATCATATCGAAATAAATGGGGCGAAAATCCTTTTGAACTTTGCTGGGAAAGAATTTTTATGTAGACTATGTGGAAACACTCACGTACCAAGGGAACGATGTGTTTCCTCAGTATTAAATTCAAATGATAAAAAACTCAATAATATGGAAAAAAACTCCGTTGCCGAAAAAAATCAAAAAATCGACTCGGAAACGAAAAAAGATACATTTCAATTTAGTGTTCCAGCCTCCCTGATTTCAAACATCTTTCTCAGAGGTGAGGTCAATGATTGTATATATAAAAAAAATAATATACCTACTTTTAATTTTTTAGAAAAACAGAGCCTAGAATTACCAAACGAGGTTAAAAACAAAATAAAAAACACACAAAAGGAATATCAGTCAGCTTTTGACGAAGCCCGAAAACTCGAAAAACAAAAGCAAGAAAATCGCCCAGTGGAAACACTGGTTATTGATGAAGATCAATTTACTGAAGTTGTATCAAAAACAAAGAACAAGAAAAATAAAGCGAAGAAGAAAGAAAATGGCGAAATATCAAGTGGAAGCGATTTCGATGCAGATTTCGATGTTTCGATGAACGAGAACATAAACGAGCGCAAGAGAATCCATCCTCAAAACCCGATAAAAGAAAAACCTACTACGAAAGAAAGACGCAATGAGAAACCCAAATGGCAGACATAAATAAAAGACTTTTTCAGAGGGACTTTTGGTGTTGATATGAATTAGTTTTTTATATTTTTTATTCTTTTGCTTATTTATGTCTAATTTTATTTATATGTCGTTGGGTTTCTTCCTCAAAAGCTTTTTCCTGATCTAGGATAGATGCAAAATTTAGGTGGAAAAAGTTAAAAATTACGATATTTTTTTTTAATAAAAAATCAAAAAAAAAAAAAATTATAATAATAATAATAACAATAAAAATGCAGCAATTAAAATTTTACACCTAAACGTAAACGGTTTGAGTAACGGAAGCAAACGTAAAACTATTATCAATAATTTAAAAAATAGACCACATGATGTCTTTCTGATTCAGGAAACTCATTTAGACAATGATAATATTAATTTGTTGAAAAACGATTGGGATGGTGACGTTTATTTTTCACCAGGAACATACACGAGAAACTGCAATTTTATTAAAACAAAAATGTGAAAAACCAATTTTCTTAGGTAACGACTCAAAAGGATGTTTTAACTATGTGGCTTTAAAAATAAATGACATAAAATTGTTGATAATTAACGTTTCATCGTACATAAAATTGTTGATAATTAACACCTTCCGGGGGCGGAAATTCTTAAAAATTAAGAATTACTTTTTTTAATGAATTAATTAATGAATTCAAAAATAAAGATTTAAATGATTTTCAAATTGTTATGGGTGGCGATTTTAACGTAACACTATCAGAAAAAGATAGATACCCCGCCATGTTTAGACAAGACTGTCCGTCAATTAAAAATTTAAAAACTTTATTAAACCTATTAGAAATAGAAGATGTTTGGAGAGTTTTTAATCCCTACAAAAATGAATTTACTTTTGCTGCCACTAACGGTGTGTCTCATTCGAGACTAGACCGCTTCTATATTCGCAAAAAAGCTAGGCAAAATATTAGAACATTTGTTGAGCCAACTATTTTAACTGATCACTATAACGCACAAGTAGTGATTCTAAAAATAACAAAAATTTATATTAAATCAGAAACATGGATATTAAACAACAAACATTCAGAAAATGGAGAGTATAAAAATCTTATAGAAGCGAGCTGGAACAATTGGGCACAGCAAAAAAATAGTTTTGAAAATATTAAAGACTAGTGGGAAACCGGGAAAGAAAAAATTAGAGAAATTTCGAAAAAGTTTAGCAAAAAACAAAAACAAAAAAAGAACAAAAGAGAATATAAACTTTTAAAAATTCTTAAAAATGCGTCTAAAAAAATGCATTTGAATAACAACTTGAAAAAATTATATAATGATGTAAAAATTAAAATTGAACATATTGAACAAGAAAAAGCAGAAGGGGCGGCGATAAGAGCGAAAATTCAATAGAGATTAGAAGGCGAAAAATGTTCTAAATTTTTTTTCGGACTAGAAAAACAAAAGCTCGCAAAACAGTATGTCACAGAAAATAATGGTATTGACGGGGAAATCAAAACAGAGCAAAAAGAAATTCTGACTGAATTTGAAAATTTTTATAAAAATCTTTACAAAAAGAAAAAAAATGACAAACCTTCTCAAGAGTTTTTGTTTTTAAAAAAGTTCAGAAAGTGACTGAGGATGAAAATAAAATTCTAGAAAAAGAAATTTCTGAATGCGAAATAAAACAAGCTTTAGGACAAATGAAGAATAACAAATCTCCCGGCTCAGACGGGCTTACCCGTGAATTCTATAAAAACTTTTTCGAAATAATCAAAGAAGATTTGACTGATACTTTAAATTATGTTTTGTCTACTGGAGAAATGATAAATTTACAAAAAGAAGTCATAATTACATGTATTTTTAAAAAAGGTAACAAAAATGATATGGAAATTGGAGACCTATATTACTCATAAATGTTGATTACAAAATTCTAACAAAATGTTTAGCAAATAGACTCAAAAACATATTACCAAACATAATACATAGCAACCAAATACATAGAATGTATCAAAAACAGAACTATAAATTATAATCTTAGTTACACCAGAGATATTATAAGTATTGCTAAAACAAGCGATTTAGATGCTTGCATTCTTTCTATAGATCAGGTGAAAGCTTGTGACAGGGTAGATAGGAACTTTTTGTTTGAAAGTTTGAAACATTTCGGTTTCGGAAAAAGTTTTATATTTTTAATCAAAACAATCTATAAGAAAATTTTTGCAAAAATTAAAATTAACGGATGCTTATCTGAAAAAATAAATATTTTAAGAGGAGTAAGACAAGGTTGTCCTTTGTCAATGATATTATATATCATCCAAGCGGAAATATTTTCAACTTTTGTTAGACAATGTAAAAAAATCAAAGGTATTATTGTTAAAGGAAAAGAAACAAAAATACAGCAATCCGCTGATGACACTAATTTTTATCTAACTGGAGTGGAATCGATTGAGGAAGTAGGTAGAGCTCTGAAATTAAATAAAAAAGCCACCGGAGCCAAAGTAAATATAGCAAAATGCCAAGGTATATGGCTCGGGAAAAACATTTTTAAAGAGTAAAAGAAATATTTAAACTTTAATTGGGATGAGAACTCTTTCAAAAGTCTAGGAGTAATTTTTTCTAATAACGGTAGATTTTCGTATGAAACCCACTGGAAGGAACGTTTCGATAAAATAAAGAACTCTCTCCGAAAGTGGAAAAAATATAAACTTTCTTTAAAAGACAAAAAAACAATAATAAACTCATTGATAATCCCGCAAATACTACACCTAGCCTTTATTATTCCCCTACCGAACAAACATTATTTAAAAAAATTAGAAACAAAGATAAAGATAAAGATAAGACACTTTTTTTGGAGTAGTAGAGTCTGTCGACTCAACAAAACAAAAACCCAACAAAAAATAGAAAACGGTGGGGCAGGTTTAAATAACCTAACAAATAAACTTAAAGCTATTCAATTACAATGGGTAAGCAAAGTTCATAACAAAAACAATGACGGACCATGGAAAGATGCAATGATAAATATTTTAAACTCATATAGAAACGCCAACCAAAGTATTTACGTTTTTAAAACTAACCCTACTCAAATTAATAAACTTCCACCTTTCTATGGTCAGCTATTAACTAATTGGCACAAATTAAAAGAAAAACACGGTTTACCAGTCACAGAAATTGAAGATATATTAAATGAACCTCTTTTTTTTAACAAAATGATCAAAAATTTACCAAAAACGTTTTTAACTCCAGATAAAATTTATTTAAAAAATGATCACGTGCTTGTAGCCGATATTACAAAAACATTTCAACCAGGGTTTTTGAATTATAGAAGTGTAAATTTGAGCGAAAACAATTTTGATGAAATTATCGAAGCCCTCCCGAGGGAATGGAGACAAAAAATCATAACGCAATCTCAAAAATACGATCATAAAAAAGCTCCACTATATATAGCAAAAAGAAAACCAAAATATGAATGGAAAAACCTTACTGTTTTAACGTTATACAATTTGTTAAACAAACCTATCAAAAAAATTAAATATAAGTATAATAATTGGAAGTCCTTGTTTGATAGCATGGACAGTTTAAATGATAATGATTGGAAACATTTCTTCATTAAACTTTCTAAAAGAAAAATTAATAATAAAGCAAGCGAAATTCGCTACAAAGCAGCGCATTTTATTTTACCAACAAACGAAAAAAAGTTTGATATAAAAGTAAGAAAAGATCAGCTATGCCCACAATGCAAAACAAAAGTTGAAACGACTGCTTACATGATCTATGAATGTGAGAAAGTGCAACCTTTAATTTTTTATGTTTTAGACATTTTAGATCAACTCTACTCTATAGAATACCCTCATATTAACAATTTAAAATTTTTATTATTCGGCTATGAAAAAAGAGCCAAGCAAAGAGAGTTTGGAAATATTTTATTGGATATTTTATTAACGAAAGTGTTTTATAATAGAAAAAAGAGCCACTTTGAATATAAGATTTTTATAAACAAACATCTTTTAAAAAAATTAACCACAAAAATTGAAAAAGTTTTAAAAAGCGAGTTGCTAATAACAATTAAACAAAATAAACAAGAAATACTCAAGGAGGAAATAAAAAATATTTTTTTCAACGGAAGCTTAAGTTTGGTTGCAGATATATGCAACTACTTTTAAATAATATTTTTGATACTTTTAGAAACTTTTTATATAAAGAATCTCTATTTTTTACTAAAATATATATATTAGAAGATAAAAAGAATGTAATTTTATATTAAATTGAAAAAAGTTTTCATATATGAAGAAATAACAGAGAAAAAATGATAGTCTATATACTCGAAAAAAAATCAAAGAACTATTTTTTTTTTTTTTTTTTTTTGGGATAAGAAAAACACGTGACTAAGCAGTTTCACCTTTTTCCTTTTCAAAACAGATTTTCTTTTTATTCTCTTTTGATTTTATTTTTTACGTGTTTTTATTTTTGTTTTTTGTTTTTTATGGTGGTTTTATTGTAATGGGTCTATAAGACATCTTTGTAATGGGGGTATATATTTACGAATTCTTTGTAATTTTTATTTTTTTACGAGACGTCAGTATGAAAATTAGCCGGATGACAATAAATCACAATACAACTACTTGCCTGATGATTGTGGTAACACATGAAACTTTAAGTCGCAATATAATATTATAAATATTAGCATTTAGCTAATTCCTGATACTGCGGGTAACAGTAATATATATACTATATAGCTCTAGTTTATCTATTGAACACTCTTTAAAATATACATTATTATACATGATAATATAAAGAAATCATCTTTAATATTTACATATATGCACCCACGTATAAATATATATATATATATATATATATATATATATATATATATATATATATATATATATATATATATATATATATATATATATATATATATAAATATATATAATATATATATATATATATATATATATATATATATATATATATATATATATATATTATATATATATATATATATATATATATATATATATATATATATATATATATATATATATATATATATATATATATATATACTATAGCATATTTATATGTGCAATTACTCACTTTTTTTGCTGGCCTAAATTAAGTGAGCGTTTTTAGAAAACGATGAGGGAAAACGAAGAATAATGAATGAAAATGTTGCTGACCCATTCTAAACCCTCAGTCGATGTAGCAGCACTCCACTACGAGTCAGGCTATTTGTCAGTCAATGTATGTACTGAAGCCCCCGGCAGCAGGCTATTTGACGTTAGGTGAGTATGACATCATTATGCTGACCTAACTCAGCAGTATAAGATATATATCTATATATCTATATATATATATATATTTATATATATATATATATATATATATATATATATATATATATATATATATATATATATATATATATATATATATACATATATATATATATATATATATATATATATATATATATATATATATATATATATATATATATATATATATATATATATATATATATATATATTTATATATATATATATATATATATATATATATATATATATATATATATATATATATATATATATATATATATATATATATATATATATATATATATATATATATACAGAGCCGGCGCTAGGGTATTTGGCGTCCTAGGCAAAAAAAATTTAACCCCCCATCCTCCTCCGAAAAAAAATATTTTAATTTGAAAGAGCAAAAACATAAATATTACTTTTATTTAAAATGGCATAAACATTATAAAATGGTGGACATATTTAAGTATTAAATATTTATTTTTGACATTTTAGGATTTCAGCCACTCAACTTTTATTTACAAGAATAAAATTATTTGAGATTTTATGACATTCAAAGAATAAAAGAATTAATGAAGACTATTCCTAATATTTGATCGCACCAAAATTATAATAATTAACCTAGCTTATCTCAAGAAATAATAATAAGTAATAATCTAGAAATAAGAATAAAAATTGAAAACTTGGAATATAATATAGTTACAAAGAATAAAAAAACTTGTTTCTGATTTGATGTTTAAATTATTAGAGAATTTGAATTTCAGAAACTAGAAAGTTCATTTGTATTTTGAAAATATGTAATAATAAAAATAAAAGCATATTTAAATTTTTATTTTTCTGGATTTTTTTTTGTTGCAAATGTTTTTACAATTTCTTTCAAATTTAATATTGATGATTCTTCGTGTTCTATCGAAATTATTGATAATCCCACAAGTCGTTCTTGTAACATTGTTGACCTCAAATAATTTTTAATTATTTTTAATTTCGAAAACCTTTGCTCGCCACTTGCAGCGGACACTGGAAGTGTTAATAGTATTTTTAAAGAAGTACATATATTTGGTAGACAGTCAATTAAACGTTCTTCAACTATAAAAGTTAGTACTTCATGTGGTGTCATTTGTTGAGGGAGTCTTCCAGAAAGTACTTTGATTTCGTTACAAAGATCCGCTGCACTAATATCTTTTTGAGAACCATGAGCTAAAATTTCTTCTAGATTTCTACAATTTTTCTATAATTCTGCTGAAGATTTTGAACTTATAGAATAAATATCATGAAGGAAGCCCAACATACTATAATACTGTCGCATTTATTCAAACCTTTCTGCAATAGACTGTATAGCAGTGTCTAAAATTTTAAAATAAAATTCAACTATAAATTTTTCTTTTGGATCTTGCAACGCTTCATCTTGTGTTTCATAATCGAACTGTCGCTTTTTTCTCCTTCTCCCGGCGTGTTTTTCTTTAAAATTTGTTACTGTTTTCAATTCTTTTGCAATTTCAGCAGCATCAACAATAATTTTTTGAAAGCCTTTATCATTTCTCATTTTTACAAGTTTGTTTTTAGTAATATTTAATTGTTGTGTAGCTACATTCAAATCAACTTTCTTATTTTGTAATATTTTATTAGAAATATTAACTTCAAAAAGAATGTCGTACCATGAAACAAAGGCAACCATGAATTTGAATATGCAAATAGAATTTGCGAGCCCTTTAGCCTCATTTTGGGAAGAATTTGCTACTGATGTAGTTTGTAATCTTGGATCCTCAAATATTTGCATTAAAGCATCGTAAATTTTTCCGAGATTGTATCGTAATAGTTTTAAAGCATTAATGCGGCTTTCCCATCTTGTATCATTTAATGACTTGACAGTAAAATCTGGAAAATAGCTACGAAAAACTTGCCAACGAGAAGGTGATCCCGAAAAATAACTATAAATCTGTCGCACCACACCAAAAAAACTTATTGCATCTAAGCTACATTTGCATGCATCATTCATAACTAAGTTTAGTGAATGTGCGCTGCATGGAGTAAAAAACGCCCGGGGATTTATATCCAAAATATTTCTTTTCACCCCATTCTCCTTACCCTTCATGTTGCTTCCGTTATCGTATCCTTGTCCACGGAGATTTTCAATTGGTAAAATAAAATTTTCTAATTGTTCAATTAATGTTTTTGCCAAAAAACCACTTGTAGATTTCTCCACAGGTATGAATCCTAAGAAATGTTCTTTAATTTTAACTAAATCTTTATTATGCGATGTTGGTGATTCTAAATCAATAAAACGAATTATTATTGTCATTTGTTCTGTATGTCTATTATCTGGGATGCAGTCTAAAATTATAGAATAAAATTTAGCAAATTTTACTCTAGTCAAGATATTATCTTTTATAGCATTTGCTAGTATTTGTATTAATTTGTTTTGAATTTCTTTTCAAGATAATGAGCAGTTTTAATTTCTTGACTTTTAATTTTCCGCACATGTTCATTCATTAATGGATCAAATAAAGCGAGATACTCAACAAATTTTAAAAAATTACCATTGGCGTTATTGTAAAGCTTTTCATTTGTTCCACGAAATGCCAAGTTTTGCGTAGCAATTACTCTGACTAAGGTAATTAATCTTTCTAAAATTCGTTGCCAATATTGTTCTTTTTCATTAACTTTTTGTTGGTTAATATGATCACTGTTTTTTTCTGTAGATAAACGTATATCAAGTTCTTTCCACATTTGAAAATTTACAAGATGTGAATTACTTTTTTCATAAGAAGAAAGAAGTGCTCCAATATTCTTCCAATCGTTTAAACCTGAACTTTCTAAAGCCGGCAAAATACTTTTGCTTTTACCAAATAATTTACAACATAAACAAAAAACTACATTTTTTGAAACTGAATATATAAGCCTCGAACGAGAGACTTCTTCTCCATTTGGTAATGTCCGCTTGTAATAGATTGATAAAAATTTTCTTTTTTGTTCATCTCAATCTCGTGGAAAGTTATATTTTTCAATTTGTTGCGGTCTATTTTTTATAACAAATTGCCGAAAATTGTCACTAAAATGAGTAGGCCAATTTGCAGGGTCACTGTAGTCTGCAGTTGATAATATGCTAATTTGAGTTTCAGTTTCAATTTGTCTTGAAATATTAACAACAGGAGTTGCTTCAGGTAGATAAATTTGGTTTTAATTGATATTTACAACTTCATTTTGTTGATTTGAAATATTAGCATTATTAACAGTTTTATCATCAACTATCACTTTAGATTTTTTACTCACACCGCTATTGCTTTTAGTAGCAGAATCAGTACCTGTAGAATGTGTTTCTGCACGAAAATATTTCAATAGCTTTTCTTTGACATTCTTTATTTTTCTTTACTGATAGTCTCTTTTTCTCAGACATGGTTAAAAACGTAAGAAATGTGTAATCTAAATACTAATAGTCGAATGAATATTATTATTATTAGTGCGCATAGTTACGCGTGCTGTTTTATAGTTACGGTACGGTTCTGTATCTGCAAAATACACTTTTTAAGTAGTTTCTAGACTTTCATTTACCGCGTGCTTTCTCAAAGATTTCCTTTCAACCTTTCATGGTACGAGTTCAAAATGTCCAAGTTGACATTAAGTAGATAATGTTTAGTAGCTTAAAATTATAGGTAATCTAAACCCAGTAGGCACATGACGTAAAAAAGACGTCCTTAGGACGTTCAAATTGGGTCCGTCCGTCCCATTAAAATTCTAAACGTCTTTTGAACGTCTTTTTCGCGTCCAATAATTTTTTCGTCCAAAAAATATCCAGAATGCTATATTAAATCAAAAAAAAATTAGTTATATCACGCAAGCGCTAAAACTTCCTAAAATTTTCAAGTAATAAGGTTTTTTTTCAATTACAAAAAAAGTCTTTTTACAACGACTAATAGACACGTTCTAGCTAATTTTTATTTTTGTTATCAATTACTTGTATAGTACTGCTATATCAAAAACCTAGTATAGTATTGCTATATCAAGAACCAAGTTCTAACAATTTCAAAGATTTAGACATCTCATACAGAATCAAATTTTTCAATAGGAAAATCTGTTAACGATACATAGAACAATTATCCTGATAATTCTTTGAATTCAATGTCTTTACTCGACAACATTGTGCTATTTTATAATGGGACCAGTACATTAGTTAATGATCTTCTTGAAATAGTGCCAAATCAAGGTTTGGAACTTCCCAAAGATGCAAGAAGAATTTTAAAAACACCTAATGAAAAGCGACTTATAGAAAGGTTCTTGCTAATTTATATATATATATACTTATAAACATATATATACTTGTTAATATTGATACAGATATTGAAATTGATACAGATATTGAAAGAAATAGTTAAAAACTAGGTATATCATATACTATATATATACTAAGTGTATACTTGACACTTGATATAGTATTTTAAGTATAATAAATGATATACTATATCAAGAACCAAGTTCTGACTGTTTGAAAGACTTAGAAATCGCAGAATCTCATGCATAGTCATATTTTTCAAAAGGAAAACCTATTAGTAAGACAGAGAGTTTATGCTTATAACTCAATATAATTCAATATCTTTAATTAACAACTTTTAGATTCGAAATAGCTGGACCAGTACATTTATCAAAATAATTGGACCAATACATTAGTTAATGAACTTTTTGAAATATTTGCAATATCAAGCTTTGAACTTTGCTAATAACTAATTACTTAACTTTAGTAATTAGTTATTAGTGAAGCTCAAAGGTTTTCACTAAAAAATAAGTCTAATTGAAAAAATTAAACCAGTCGTAACAGTTATATCAGATATAGGAGGGTAGAAAATTTCCTTTACAAAAAAAGGAAATTTTCTACCCACCTGACTCCTATATAACTGTTATAACTTGTTTAATTTTTTTAATTAGATGTGGATCTATATAGGCATTTTAGGTAATTGCAGTTTTGGTAAACATTTATTTGTTTCATTATATAATGTAATCATTTATATAATGTAATCATTTATATCATTATATAATGTAATCATTATATAATGTAATCATATATAATTAATCATTTGTTTCATAATATAATGTAATCATTCATTAATTGCAGTTTTAGTAATCATTTATGGCCCATTAGTGGCAGCAGCCAAAAGTGGCTAACATATTAATAACCACTATATCACTTGTTAGAATGTTATTGGCAATTTACTAAGTAACCGATAAGAAACTCTCCTTAATTTCTACTTTTTTTTTTTTTTATCATCTAGGAAATTTTATTAAAGTGATTTAATAAAATTTCCTAGATGATAAATAAATAGATTATATATATATTTATTTATCATCATATATATATATATTATATATATATATATATATATATATATATATATATATATATATATATATATATATATATATATATATATATATATATATATATATAGATATATATATATATATATATATATATAAATGTATATATATATATATATATATATATATATATATATATATATATATATATATATATATATATATATATACATACATATATATATATATATATATATATATATATATATATATATATATATATATATATATATATATATATATGTATGTATGTATGTATGTATGTATATATATATATATATATATATATATATATATATATATATATATGTATGTATATATATATATATATATATATATATATATATATATATATATATATATATGTATGTATATATATATATATATATATATATATATATATATATATATATATATATATATATATATATATATATATGTATGTATGTATGTATGTATATATATATATATATATATATATATATATATATATATATATATATATATATATATATATATATATATATATATATATGTATGTATGTATGTATGTATGTATGTATATATATATATATATATATATATATATATATATATATATATATATATATATATATATATATATATATATATATATATATATATGTATGTATATATATATATATATATATATATATATATATATATATATATATATATATATATATATATATATATATATATATATATATATAAAAGTAATATGTTAATTTATAATAATTTTTATGTTTTTATTTAAAACTATTTGAAAAAAATAAGATTCTGTTTTCAATGTAGTTATTTTCTCCTTAATTCAGCTTATTTTTTCTTTCAATAGATTGTCTTTCGTGACCAAATTTCTTTAAATATTAGAAAAATATCTCCTTAAAATCCTTACATTTAGCGTCAGTTTTAATAATTAAACCCTGATTTTGTTTTTATATATATAAAAACAAAAAAATACAAAATACAAAATAAATGTCAATAAATAAAATAAAAATGAGTTTTGTTAAAATTTAGAATTATTAGAATTAGTTAAAATTTAGAATTATTAGTTATTATTAGTTAATTATATATTATTAGTTAAAATTAGTAGAATTTGTAGTATTAGTTAAAATTTAGAAATAGATAGTGTCAAACATCAATTAGATACAGTTTAAAGTTGAACAGAAACATTTAAAAAAAAAAAAAATGCTAATGTTAAAAAAATAACACTTGTAACAATATTTTTTACTTTTTCATAAGTTTTATTTACTTGTTAATTAAGATTTTATTTTTAGGAGTGTCAACTACATCAAGTGTCAGTTGATATATGTTTTGGTCAAATACATGTTTGTATTTGGTAGTATTATGTTACATTTTTGTTTTGTATTTCAAAAACTCATTGCATTTATTTAAATATGCATTTAGGAATCTAGAATTAATGTGTTTGTAGTTTTTGTATTTTATTTTGTTTTAAATTAAAGAAATTTTATTTGATTAAATGTGTTTAACCCTAAAGTTGCATTTTTGCCTTCGGTTTTAAAAAAATAAAACAATGATTTTGGCTGTATTTAATTTTATGTAATGGTTAATGTAATATAGTTTATTTTATGTAATATGCCTAATGAGTTTTTATAAGTAAAAACTTCTTTAATTCATTCAGCTCCTCCAAAATTTGAAAGTCTGTGATTCAAAATTTTGCTTTTCTCAAAAAAAAGTTAAAGAAAATATATGAAGTCAATAATAAATCTTAAAGTTTTACAAATATTAATGTAAGTAATAATTTTTCTTGTAATAACTATCTTAGAAGTTATTTTACCTATCTAGGCCTTTTTTCTTTATAAATTAATTTTTTTAATACTCCGCAATACTTAAAATAGGTACCTAGTCAATTCAGCAAGAAAAAAAGAACATTTAAGAATTTCCTTTCAAAAAATGTAGTTAGTAAAACTTTAAGTTAGTTATAAATATATATATATATATATATATATATATATATATATATATATATATATATATATATATATATATATATATATATATATATATATATATATATATATATATATATATATACATATATATCTTCTTCATACCCTGTAACTTCAGGGGTTCTTCAAGGTTCAATCCCTGGCCCTATACTATTTTTAATTTACATTAACGATCTTCCAGATATTCTCACATCTAAAGTGGGATTGTTTGCTGATGACACTACCATTTATTCTTGTCATGATAAAAAGCCTACGCTCTCTGATTGCTTGGAGGGGTTATCTGAGCTTGAAAAGGATCTCACCTCTGCTACAGCATGGGGCTCACAATGGCTGGTTAACTTTATTTCAGATAAAACTCAATTTTTTTCCGGCCAATCGTTATCGCAATAGTTTAGATCTTCCAATATTTATGAATGGTAATGTACTAGATGAGTAATCTACCCTTCATCTTCTAGGATTAACTTTTACTTCTGATCTTTCTATAAAACCGTATATCAAATGCATTGCAAAAATAACATCTGCTAAGGTTGTTTATTGTCGTGTGTTGAGTTTGGAAGTGACTCTTCCAGTAACTTCCTAACTCTTATAGTAGTTGCTCGCAGCTTTATTGGAAGCGAAGATGTAATATATATATATATATATATATATATATATATATATATATATATATATATATATATATATATATATATATATATATATATATATATATATATATATATATATAAATACAAAGCTCAATTGTTTGCCAAGAACTTTTCATCAATTTCATCTCTTAATGCCACTAGTTGCGTTTTATCTGATATACCCGTCAAACAGGTTGATCCATTGCTCGACATTCGTATAACTCCAGCTTCTGTATCTAAAGTGATTTCCCGCTTAGACTCTTCCACAGCTTGCGGCCCGGATAACATACCTGTTATAGTCTTGCAGAAGTGTTCTCCTGAGCTGTTGTCTATCTTTTCAAAACTATTCAACAAGTGCTTATCAGAGTCTTCTTTTCCAGCCTGCTGGAAAGCAGCATCTGTTATCCCTA